GGTGAATGGAGAGCAAAAAAATGGGTGGCTCAAATTCGAAAGCCGCGCCACATGAGCATAATAAATACCCAGATAGCCTGAGTGTGTCTATATGTATTGTATGTATCAACAGAAGAGCATACCATTCATACCATTGTAAATAATTAATTTGGTTTAAATCAAAGCTGGCTGCAAAATAGCATACAGTTTACACGGGTGGTTAGAAGCAACATTCCTGCTTCCAATCGTAACCAGCCGTGCAGATGACAAGAGCAGTATTAGGGAGATCAGCCGATTCCCTGGTTTCAAAAAGCAGCGAGGTTTTTTTATTCGGGAGACTGTGTAAGCGAGTTCATTCTTAGGAGATTCAAGCTTTATTTCATCGCAAACTTTGAGTGATGGACGCGTACGTCATTGATTATTATTATTATAGGGAAGTTGCAGATTTCTAACGAGCACCACATGCGTCCACTTTTCCCAAGCTGTGGATTGGTTGCTGGCAGCGAGCTCCATGCAATTATGAGCTCGGGTGGCCGATACGAACTATAAATACTGCGCAATTTGTGTATAAATCATCCCAATCTGTGTATTTATAGAACACCTCTACGGTTACCTGTGATTAAGGATTCTCGACTGAATTCGAAGCGTTAGGAAAATACACTCCTTGTTCCAGCAGTCGCATCTCCTGCTTCAGAACTGCTTCCTGGAACTGGCATATTCATTTCTATCGGCAAGCTCCATGCAAATATTATGGTCAGCCGCGACATCTACCGTCGACACAAGCGACAGCGGAGCGCAGAAATGACGCCAATTCTCAAGCCAGGGCTTATTCGCCCGGCCATGCATTCCAGTTAGATGAGACCCAAATACTCACGAAGGGTGAAAAGCGCGTGAGCGCGTGAGTCGCTTGAGTCATGACTTACGACCTCCCTCTCCCAGTGCTATTACCTACCCAATCAGTTATCGGTGCTGAGGCTCAGTTTGGCCAAAACCAATCGCTACTCGGAAAGCACGCAGACAAACGCATCTTCTGACCCCAGCGCCGGGAATCCAGATGGCTCAGCAATAATCACGCCCATGTCCAGCACGGGTTATGGAAGTTCAGCGGATCACGAACCGCATGTCGGCCATCGAGCGATTGGTACACCAGGGGGCAGTAATTCTCGATTTTTACAATTTCCGAGACCTCAGGCTTTGCATCCCACGTAGGTCATCGTGTTGTGACTCGCGATCAATATTTATGGCCTGGAAGATTGCCAATTGACGGGGTGACTTAGTCCTCACGGTCCGTGTGTAGAGGGACCGACTGGCAGTCTGAGCGTCAGACTGAAATAGCTGCTTGAGAGCGTGGATTATATGGCACTCTCACTCGAGTCATTCCCGGATATGTTTCTCGAAAATACTTACCTATCTCGCCCAGTATTGACAAAACACAAAACCTGAAACAAAACCAATA